GGTTAATGGATGTGAAAATGTTGGCTTAGAATGTTAGCCAAACTGAAGGAATCTCACATTTAGAAAACCCCCTTGTAACCAGGTTCTATAAGAGTTATTCGAACCTTTAATTGTCTTTCATACTTGTTTTAGTATTTTCCTGTTGAGAATGCAATTGGGCAAGTTTCTAATAATGAGGATTCCCAAGTCTAACAAAAGTTAGGATCCCTTTGGAATGAATTGGGGTGCATTCAGCTGTGGGAGTCAAAGATGTCTGGTACTCGGTTTTCTTCATTGGGCCTTGGGAACTGTCATTTTTCAAACCATGTCAAACGTGGCTAAAAATTTATAAGTATATGGCAAGGGCTTACCACTTGATCTGGACTTGAAATACTTACCAAGGCTGTACTCCTAAGTATGTTTAAGTCCCCAGTGGGACTTAGTACCAGATAGACATGTGTATTCTCCTGGTCTAAGTCCATGAATGGGTTATAGATTGGTATGGAAATTTCATTTACAGGCAAGTTTTTCTGTCATTTATAAAATGCTACATTCTTATGCAGTTAAGTTTCTTTTTATAAATAGGCTCACACTCTTTTTTTAAAAAAAGGTGTGTTTAGAAATGTCAGAGTTGCCTGATCATACTTCATGCTAAGTTTCAGATGGAGAGAATTGCATCTGATTATATCTGTAATGACCTGAATATAAATCTTTAGCTGCGATAAATGTCTTTTTCAGATACAGTGACTGATTTCATGTTGAATTCTGCAGTGATTAGTTGATGTACAGTGCTAAATGAAATAGCTAGCTTATCCTTTCTAACTTGGCCATTGGTTGACTTCCTCTTTGAGATCAGTGCCATATTGGGTTTAAATGATGTTAAAGATTAAAGGATTTCTTCAACTTGATATAGTCTGGAACAAGAAATTGTCAAAAGGAAATGCGGAACTTGACTAATGTATATTTTTATAGGAAGGAATCACATGTCCTTTGTCTTGTTTGGAGAAAAAACCAACAACTTGAAATTGAAAATTTGTCTTCAATAAAAACAAAGTTGATTCTTTTTAGTTCAGAATTGTGGATTACTGAATTTTTAGAAGGAATATTTTTATTTAATTCTGAAGAAAGTATTGTTTGGGAGAGCTGTCAACAACTCAGATGAAAACAACTTGGCTGACAGACAGTACCTGCTTTACTGGATAACAGTTTCCTTGGAAAAGCTATGGATCAAATATATCCTCTTTGAATATAGTTCTCTTGGGATTGATGTAATTTGTTCAAAGGAAAATACAGAAGCTCAAGTGAAAATGCAGATATCAGTTTAAGAAAATGGTATCTGCCACAACCTATTTCTAAAAGCTTTGCAGGAATTACAAACTATTCATTTGAAGAGCTGGATGATCCTTAAAGTCTGTGAGCACAACTTCTTTATTTCTTCTTGATATTTATATTTATACATATGGACTTATTTATCAGTAGTATCACTAGTTTTTCATGGTGTGAAATTTGTAAGTGTAAGAAAAATCTGAAATTTGACTTGGAGTTAAATGTACTGCACTCAGTGGCTAAAGCCCTGTGACTTAGCACTAGAATAGGCCCATTGAAAACATTGCACTAGAGTAGGCCCATTGAATTAATGGTGTTTTGGTGAGTTAATGTTTCTATAAGTTCCATTGACTCAAATGGCCCTACTCTAGTTGTAACTTCAGTGTAGTAAGTCACAACTAAACAAGGCCTATTTCAATTAATGAAACTTATGGAGGAGGTGGCCAAATCACCATTGGTTCAGAAAGCCTACTCTAGTGCAGTTTATTACAGTAAGCAACAGAATTTCTGTTACCGTTTGTATTCAGCGTTTTGAATTTGGACTGTTGATGGGAAGTATCAGAAAAAAGAGTGGTGCCAAAGTATACCTGCTCCCTTGTAAAGATGATCTGTTGTTTATCATATGTCTTGACTTTAGAGATAACTTCAGTGTCAGGCAGGTATGGGGTCTTTTATATTGCATTGCCCTTGTTAAAGAATACATTCCTCAGAGATATTTTTCTGGCCTTTCTGAGTTTTGTGTACCTGATGAAAATGTTTGTCTGTTTTTTTAGATATCAAGGTGTTTTTCTATGAATAGTTTTCAGAAAAAACAGAACTTCTTACAGTCTAACTGGATTTAAATTTGGTTTTGTTGTTTTATATTGACTGAAATCTTCTTGTTTACTGTAGTAAGTCACAACTAGAAAAGGCTGATTGAATCAGCAGGGATTTGATGAGTTAACTCCTTTGTAAGCTCCATTGATTCTGTGGTCCACTCTAGTCGTGACATCCTACGCTAAGCAGAAATATTTCAGTCATATTGTATGTTAGTTTTGGTCTCTTTAGAAATGTATTCTTATTTGTCATTTGTATGTTGATACATGTGGAACCTGCTTGGGAATCTGTCGGATTGAAAGGTGGGGTTAAAGTATCATTAATTAATAAATTATAGGTTATAATCTTAACCTTCTAATCCATAAAATGGGTAGCTAGAGTAATTGGAGTTGTCCTAATTGTTAGCACAGATGATCAGTTTTGGAGATACTCCTATTCTTCAATGTCTGCTAGACTCAGGGCACTTATTAGTTGACAAAAATCAGTACAGTATACAAGATAAAATGTGTGTTAAAAACTGTTAACCCTGATAAGTGTCAATATTTACAATCAAATGAAAGCCAAATTGTTTCTAAATTATGATCAGACTTTGGAATTTTTTTCTGAGGAAGAGGAAACAGGCCTTGCTGCTTAGATTTGACACAAGTGAACTGAGAATGGTGATGGTATGTGGAAGGAGAAGTGGGGTCTTTTGGTCTATAACACCTAAGCAATTAAAATACAAGACAAAAAAAAACAAAAACCAGAAGCCAGAATGTGGAATAAGTGCAAAGTATAAATTGCCATGGTGAATTAGTGCTAATTTATGAGTCACCTCATTGTGTGCCAGTTGTGACTTGGAATGCAACAAAGAATGTAAGTGGTGATTTGTTAAGTTGCAATTTGCTGGTGCATTTACACCATTATGCTTAGGCTGGCATAAATAACTTAGAGGATTCTGGCCCACGCTATTAGTGGTATGATTCTAAGACCAGCAAGCGATTTTGGCTTGGTTATATTGTTTATGGGAAGCAGTTATCTTTGTGTTTTATTTAGTGAATGAAACAACATAAATTTAGTTGCTGTGTGAGATCTTGAGATTTAAGTATGAAGCTCTTCTGCCACATAAAAAAGGAGGTCAGAGTGGATAGCTGTACTGCAGTCATTAGAATAGGAAACATGTACTTTGTGCAGAATTCATAACCTATTAGGAGTGAGGAGATAAAATAGTATAGACAGGGGAAGAGACTGTCTTGAAATCAATCATACAGCACAAAACATAAAGGTTTGTGCATGCTGAAGATTGAGTGGGAAGGGAATAATGTAAGGCAAGGAGGCAAGCTTAGTAAAATGGCTTTAATGGTAAAGGTGGAAGGAATGTTCATATTGAAGAAAGGAAGAATGAGGGCAAGTAAAAGCTAGTAAGAGTGAAGTTAGGATAAGGAAACCATAATCTCATGATCAGTTTGTATTTTATCCAGCAGTGTTTTCGGTTGCATAGGTAATGTATGCCATTTGCTTGGGACAATGGGGTAGAAGTGCACTAGGGCAGCGGTCCCCAACCTTTTTAGCCCTGTGGACTAGCTGGGGAAGG